TAGTTTCAGCTGAAATTGGAATTGCAGTGATTCACATAGCTCTGCTGCATTGATACAGCGGGTTTGTATTAATTTTTAAAGCAATTAAATTGCTCTCTTTTATTACCTTTTTTTTCCCCCCCCACTTATTTACTATCCTGGGCATGCAAAGAGTTCTGCTTTCAGCTGGTTTGCTTCAGGGACATGCATATATACAAGGAACCTTACTGCAGTAAGCTTACTAGCTTAGAGGCAAGGAAGGCTCACATGTAACTACAGCATTTTCAAATATCCACCTCAACAGAAACATTTTTCACTTCAGTGAAGATGCCAAAAATACAAGTAATGCTGAGTTAAAGGTTTTGTAAAGCCAATAATGCCTTCTCCTTACAAGTCAATAATTACATGCAACTGGGTTACAGCCTCTGTTTTACTGGTTTTAAAAAGTAAAGGTTATATATAAATAATGAAAAGAAGAAAGATTAAAGTAAAGCAGTTGATATCACCTATGGTTATAAAGAAGAATCTCATTAAAATCAAATCATTAAAATCCCAAAACAAACCATATGACTTCTGTGAAGAATTAAAAATACAAACCACAGGTACCACACACCTGCCACAGGAAACTTGAAAAGCACTAAATTATAAGACCTTTTCCTCCTCTTCAGATATGTTGTGTCTAAAAAGTACAAAGCCTAAACTTATTCACACAACAAGTGTTTCGAGGTAAGTCTTCAGAAGAACCCCTGGATCATCTAGAACATCCTTCAAAACAATTCAGGAAAGCCTGCTAACCTAATTTACAGGAGTGTTTTTATCCAGTGACCTCTTGAACACCCTGAGGAATGACGCCTCACTGAACCCTCTTGCCAAGCACTCCCATTGCCCAACTGACCTCCCTGCTAGAAAGCATTCCCTGTTTAGCTTCGGGTCATTACTTCCTGTTGGACAACCCATGATCCCCTGAAATAATTCCTCCTTCTCCTCTCGTGTTCCTTCTTGGGTATTTGTCAGTTGTATTCCCTTAGGCAGGCTGTATATAGTGTGCTCCTGAGACCTCTCTTCACAGGTCCTGCTCTCCCACCCTTTTATCATTTTTGTCAGCTCTTTGAACTTTTTTTTTCCATTTATTCATTTCACTGTGCAGCCCTTAATGATAAAAGCAACCCATACAAATACACCTTTACTTGCAACCAAAAAATCCTATCGATTGGTAGGTGAAAGAGAGAGGTGAAACCTGGGTGCCACAAGGAGGGAGCCTTTTGAATCTAAGATTCGTGTGTCTGGGCCAAAAAACCTAACAGAATAGCTAAAAGTGACAAATCTCCCCATTTCTGAACTGTTGGTTTTTCTTCTTTTCTTTCTATATATTGCCTTTGCAAGAGGATCGCATGGTCTTCAAACTGCAAAACTGTCTTTGCTGGTACATGTACATCTGTACCAACTGAGACAAATCTACCCAGGATCTTTGCAGGTGCTGAATGGAGCATTTTTCTCAACTGATTAAGGAGGAACACTCTTTACGTTAGGTTTGCTTCAGTCCCAAAGTGACCTTTTGTGGAGGACAAACGAAAGAAGCAAGAGGAATACAAGAAATGGCACGCGATATATGAAAAATACTAAAAGGACTCTTACCTAATAACACGGACGTTTGCAGGCAGTTTAGGCCTGATTCGTAGATGAATGGAGTGTTCTGTAGTCGTTTGACTAATGTTTATAATGTTTACTGTTAGTGCATGCTTTTTAATGTTTGTACCCCAGTTATATTTGTTATATTATATTTGAACATGTCCGTCCCCTCATGAATTTTCTCCTCCCTAACTGGTCAAGGTTTCCCTCTCCCTCATTGGCCAGGATTTGCCGCAGTGTGGGCGGTCCCACCATTTCCCTCCTTCCATGTTATTGGCTCCTAGTTAATTTATGCATGTTGCTGAATCCCCATTGGTTGTCTAGTCCCATGCTCCTCCCAGTTTCCAGATCCTTTCACCCCGAACCCTATATAAGGGTTAGCTCTCCCCTCAGTCAGGGACAGCACCCTTGACTCTGTACCCTCATGTGTCCGTGTGTTAATAAACACCTACAACAGAGCAAGAACCCCTCGTGCTGTCGTCGCCTCTCCTTTCACCGGGCTGCGGCAACCTTTTAATGCAAAATCTAGGTTTTTAACAATTTGTGAATGCGTTTACCTTACTTTTTTTCTGAATAACGGCTGATTCCATGTTTATACCTATATCATTGAAAAGATATTTTTCCTTTCTTCCTCTATTCTTACAGTCAAAGCAGTTTTTTTAGTAAAACAATAAACCTTGAAAACTTATGAAATGCCAGTGACTCCTGCTATGGTAACTTTGACACATGACAGAACCAGGCACTGAAATTTAAGAGAGTTAAATGAAAACTAAAGAAATAATCCTAAAATTGAGTTCTTCTAGGATTCAAAGCTCCTTCACGTATGACACGGCAGAATCCCCTAACTTTATGCATCCAAAGTCAGATGAGATTTCTCTGGCCCACCCAAGAAATGATAAGTGAGGTTCAAAAATGGATCCATATCTTTTAGCAGGAAAAATATATCACTTGCAATATCAAACCAGGCAAAATAAATCTTGTGTCCGCTTCCAATGGCTGATGTCTATGACTTGTACTAAGAAAAATTTGTTAAAACTGTTCCTATCAGGGTTCATAGTCCAAACCACTGTTCTTATTTTTATTCTGCGTACCACGGGAGGGTCTGTGTGCAACACTTCTTTTTTTAATGAAGAAACGCTAATAGTCAATACACCTTAAAAAATGTAGTTGCAGATTTTCGGACATTTTTCTTCTACTACAAAATACCAACTCAGCAACACTGAGAAACTTAATAAGGAACATCTTTTTCACGTGAAATTTTCCATTTCCACAAGTTTGTGGAAACAAAGCATTAAATCTCATTTCATCTCTTTGTTTTCTGGCTTTTATTTCTAACTTGAGTTAAAGAAAAAAAAAATATGTGCAAAATATAAAAACAATATCTTTGCATTTTTTTCTAATGCTACTACTTTGATTTTTTTCTGCAGACCTAATTTTTTCCCCAAAACTGAAGAGAGAAATTGTTTTAGAATCTCAAGTTTCAAGGTGCAGAGCCACACTGGCAACAATACTACTAGTATAGAGCTATATGTTATTTTATCTATAGCATGAAATAGTTTCTGCCAAAATAGGCAAACCCTTCAGAGGCAGCTACTGCCACACACAGTGAATTATGCATTTCTGTAAATTACATACAAATGTATATATCATTTAAGCTGAGAGTTGTTTTTCTAGAATCTCTGAAAATGTGTTGCAGATAATTAGTTCCACTTATTGACTGAGCTATTGAAGAATTGCAGTTATTTGCTAACTCTACAAAATGTAAGCCCAGCCTCTGCCAGAGAAAGATTCTCCCCTACACCGTGCACCTCACATCTCAAGCCTTTTGAGAGTTCCTGTCTAAGATTTAAATTTTCTTTTATAAAGCTTTTCTGAATCAATCAAGGTTCAATATAGGAAGATTGCCAAATAAATTACTTTTCATTTCTGCCCACTGTTAAATTCCTGCAGGGACCTGGAAATATATCAGGGTCATTAGTCTTAATGCCTATAATACACAGTGCTTTAAGGTAAAGTGAGTAGTAAAGCCATTTAATACACGAGCCTCTACACTCCAGACACCTCAGGGTCCTGACAGTGCACTCATCTAACTCTTAACAAATAATTCTGGAGCCCTGAGCCCTGAAGGGGGACACACTTTCCACCAAGCTTGAATCTGCATAAAACATGCATGTTGATTTCTTGTAAGCACCTGCTTTGGATACTTGCTTAGGACTCACTGGAAAGCTATCCTATGCGTATTTCTGCTGGAGGTCTGCTACAAAGCAAGTAAAACAACTGACTGAGCTGTGTGGAGCTTACTGCACTTTGAGGGCATCTGCTCCCTCATTCTTCTACTGGAAATCCCTGTGTATGCACAAACAGTAGTAGAATTTATCCCTGTGCTTAGTCTTTTCCAAACTACCTATTTGCCTCATTTAGTTCTGATAAAATTTACCTTATTAATTTAAAAATCACTGATGAACATAAAATGTGAGTAATTTACTAATGCTGCTATGGTTAAGAAAACTTAATGAGCTAATTTGAGTTGATTTTTTTTTTAAATTTAGTATGCTTTGATACAGCTAAACTGATAATTGGAAACAGGTCTCACTCACATTTAAATTTCTTGGTTCAGTCTTATCGCTGCTTAGTTATTAAAAAAAATAAATTTAAAAACCCTACTTCATTGCCAAAATCTTAGCTAATGAATACACTAACTTATACTGAGGCTTCAACTCTCATTTCCAATTCTGACATATAAAGTACTGTAAAATAATTCATTATTTAATATAAGAAATCTGGATAAAACTAATTAATGCCAAAAAATTAGCCCACAGCACAACACTAATTAAAGTTTGCCCAACAGCTACCTCCCTGTCCTAATTAGCCTCATTGATTTCAAGAAACCACTAAGAAAAAAAAGACAAACATATAATTCCCACCTCATATTTGATAAAAAACTCCTTGATTCAACTTTCAAACATCAATAAAGTGCCCTTTTAACATGAATTTGGGCTTCTCCACAACAAAGGCATCTCTCTAGGCACATGATGTTTCATTTCCAGTGGACTATTGCGGATTTTCTGGTCACTTGTCAACAGCGGTTGAAATCCAGGACAAAATTATTGATACAGAAGACAACCAGATTAAAAAATAATTACTCCAGAGAGCTGTGTGTTATACTGAAAGTGCCCATCTGGCCCATGCTGCCCCATTTGCATCAACCACAAAGTATGAATTCCATGGAGCAGGTGATCTTTCAATTCTCTGGCACCAGAGTCACAATCCCATCCGACGTTTAACAAACAGCACCGTCAAAATGGCAAAACGTGGCAAGGTATCACATAATAAGTCAAAATAAGTACTAGTACACGTTTCTGAAACATTGATGATAAAAACTGTGCACTGACCTCATTAATAAAAGTCTGGGCTCCCCGTGGGCTCAGCAGTAAGATAGCCCTCCGCAACGTGTCCCGATAGCGGTTCAGCTCTTCTGTTTTCATGGTAGTAAAAAGGTTGGAAAATACTCTGCTGATGTTCCTGTCCACTTTTTGTAATGATACATCAAGTCCCAGTCTCGAGGCCTGATCGAGAAATCCCTGCAGCCCACGTATATCTGTAACACAGGAGGAGGGAGGGGAAAAAAAAAAAAAAAAAAGAGAGAAAAGAAAAAAACCACTGCATCAACCTTCACCAGTTAGGTAAGCATCACTAATTAGGTGACAAGCATTATTAATTAGGTGGTAAAGACTTTTTTGCTTTTTTTCCTGCAGTGCTATCAGCCAGAAGAGTATTCCACACAGCCACCTTCCATGTCTCCCTTTCAGAGTCAGTGCCAACAGGGAAACTCCATCCATTACCTTTCCCCAGACATCTGTGAATGACTCTTAGCAAGACCCAGTCACGAATTTGGGTGGCTGTGCAAACCTCCCCAGAAGCTCAAGGCCACAAGGGTTAACACAGCACAAACAAAAAGACAGTCCCACCCCAACAACATAAGAGTTCAAATGCACAAAACCAGTAGTAGATAAATACTCATCCCTAAAACTTCTCTTATTCTACCACAGCCTCGCATGGTTGTTTTTTTCAAGAAAAAATTACTACATCCAGATCATACTCAGCCCTCCTTTCGACTTCCCTGTTTTTTTCCTGTCCTAGAAATAACCTACCTAACCAGAGGTTTACCAATGACCTGCAAGCCCATGAAATAGCACACAAAGCCCCTGTCTATTAGAAGAGAAATCACTCAAACAAGCCCATTCAGAGTTTCTTTGAGCTCTATGCCTCAACTTCAGGACTGAAAAAATATATTTCCTTAACCATGTTCTAGGGCATGGACATAGAGTAACACATTTCATAATATGTTCACTCTGAAAGCTGCTTGTTCACACTGTGCTCTTTTTTCTCGATTCTCAGCATTTTTCTGTAATAAATGTCTGAGGTTTTATTTTGTTGAGAAATTTAGAACAAGGTCAAAGTTCATATTGCACCAGGCTGTTCTCAAAATTAACAGTGACTACTTGATCACAGCTGTACCATGTTATTACGAGCCCTTAATTTTATGAGAAACATGTAAAATTTGTCTTGAAAAAGAAAGTAATGAAGCCTCTTTTTTTGCATTCATTTCTCACACTTTCATCATTAAACTTCATCTCCTGGGTGAAGCTGAATGGCTTAAGTTAGAGCACATTTATTGATCCAATAATAAAAATCACTCTTCAGAAAACTTTACTATAACTCTAAAAATCTCTGTAAACCACATCATAACACCTGGTGGTTTGCTTTTTTTTTTTTAGTCAGAGGAATAATCGTCTTCTGATACTGTTCAGAGAGCTGAACCCCATTCCAACTGAATCAGCAGCACTCCTTGCTGCCCCCCCACCCCCACTGGGCTTTTCAGCCATCACCAATCTGGGTGTTTCATGGCCATAGAATACACCTTTTGTATCTCCTTGGAAAATGCCTTATGAAACCTGATGTAAGTAATATCTTCTGAGGATACATCAGGTAAAGAATTTAGCTCATGAAAAAGTGCAATATGCTAGGGCCAATTAGAAAATATCAGATCCAAAGGAAAAGCAGTGGAATTCTGTCCAAACATGGGAATGCTTGTTAAGGTGATTAATTCAGCTTCAGAAATCAGCTGAACTGCAGAGACACATCAGAAATAATAGAAACTAAGCTAGGATTGTGCCAACCACAGCAGACTCTCTACTGCCTTTTTAACTCTGGTTTAGTTGGCACGATCATCCCCTCAGCCAACCCCTCCCATCAGGAAGGGTGAACTCATGAGGGTTTTGCTGGTCTTTTGCTGCTCGATTCAGCCAGCTGAGTCTATAGCAGCTTTATCACACTGTCAAATACATGCTAGACTTGCTTATTGTCCAAAACCCCGAGTAAGTGAGGAAATCAAGGGGTTTATTGCTGTGCAGGCATTTCTGGAAAGCATCAGAAGACTTTAGCACTCATATAACTGTTAAATATTGCAGGTGTGCTGCAAAAATGACAGTGACAAACAACTATCATTTACAGGTTAAAGTATTTCACTAAACTTGTCAAAGTAAGTTTGGATTTTATTAATTTAAATTCAGTAAATTATCATTCATTACTATGCACACTTTATGGATATGTGCTATACAAAACACAAAGATTTTTCTTTTAATGATATTTAGTCCTCCAAAATTACTGCAGTGCTTGATAAGCAAATATAAAAGTAAGTAAGAAAACTCCCTTTCTTATGATTTGGTAAAAACTTGTCTTTTTGTGTCACCCTCTAAAGTTATCACTGCACAAACAAAAGCTGTTTTCAAAAGATTAACTGTGCTGATATTGCTCTAGGTTGGTTTTCTCTTTGCCTTATGTTTTCAGCTGACCTGCTGAACTACCGGTTAGAAATATTCTTGTAGACTGGTGCAAAATACTTGATGCACGTGCTAAGACTATTTGGACTGGGAAGGACATTTTATATTCTTTAACAACCCTTTCCCCCAAGGAAAATAAGCTATTTCCCAGTTTGAAAAATGAAAAAGATCCTGACTTTTTCCAGCTTGAGAAATCAAAATCTAAGATGGAAGAGACTGTCCAAGCTCAACTGCACAAGCACAATCTGTGAGTTTTTCACAGATATAAAGAATGTGAATTTATTCAGTGTTGGCAATTAAAGAGAGCTGTGTGATGATATCTTCCTGAATGCTGACATGCCTGCTCCTACATGACACTGAGGCACTGAGGAAAAGGAGTAGGTTTGGTGGGAGTTCAGAGGTGGAAGTGGGAACTGAAGTGTTTTAAGAGGTGGCTAACAATTTTAGGTGCCTGCATAATGGGATTTTTCTTTTTTCACAATTATTTGCAATAATTACCAAGAAGGCAATCATTTCTTAAATGTATCAGTAAACAAATACAGAAACACATGCCCATATGCAGGAGCATCTGTTTAAAAGACGTAATAAATTAGGCTCAGTTTTATTTTATCTGACATATCACACAAGGAATTGAGTGCCCTCATTTTTTTCTCCATTTAGTAGATCACAAGTCCATAACACATTAAAGAAAAACTGAGCTTTTTTTCCTGAAACAGAAATATTCACAGATACAGTTGTGAATTTCTTTCCATTTCTCATAATCTAGGACAGCTCACCCTTCATTTCCTTCGACACTAAAAAGAGTTTTATAAAATTCACACAGAATTTCATAAAAATAAAGGCTTCTATAAATGCTTCTGTCTGTTAAAATACAATTATTTCCTGTCTCTTGTAGGCTTTACGGTGACTTTTTATTACGAAGTTCAGATTCCAACATTAGAGTTATCCTGGACCATTACTAATGCAGTAATTCCTTGTGCCCCTTTATTTCATGTTTTCTAGGAAAAGTATAGCAATTCAAACTTTCACTTCTGCCTAGAACATCTGAAAAAGGACAGAACAGTTTACAATCTTCAGCTATCTACCCTCAGTTTCACAATTACTTCCTCTTGCTCAGGCTGTAGCCTACACTCAACATTAAAATCACATGGTCATATTTTAATTATCTAACTGCCCACCTGAGTTATGCATGCTCAACATGCAGAGCTTCAGAGGCAATATTTGAAAATTTCCCTTTAGAGAACATGAGTTTCTTTAAGAAGATAAAACACATACACTTCAGGAGGGAAACTGTACTGCAGAAAATGCACTCAGGTGAGCATCTCTTATAGAAGTGCTACATAAAACCATATGATAATTGGATATGTTTACAATACTCTAATGTCAACCACAACCATGTGGAATCAGCAGGCTGGAATTAGAACCAACTCACTAGAGCTTCATAAGAAAAGCAAATTTCTTATGAACTTTGGGCCTCTTCTGTTACATCTGAATGGAGAGAGAATTTCTGTGGCCCAGAGCTTCTTCCTAATGCTGACACACATACCATATGTCCGGGTCTGACAACAGAAGAACAGGACAATTTTAGGAATAACTATTACAAGGAGGGAAGGAAAGTCTTGATGCACTGCTAAGATATGAATTCTGTCACTGTGACTACAAAACTAATGCTTGCCATAAATAAAGGGCTTTACTGTGCTATAAGGAATAATGGGATGTATAATTTCCTGCCGGAGGTTAGCTCGGTTACTGCACTGGCTGATTGGATCACAGACATAAAAGAATGAAACTAAACATGGCATTAGCTACCTGCAAAGCTCATTATCACCTGCAAAGTAATTAATTTTTATTATATTATTTATAATCTTGCTTATGCAAAACACTCGAAGTCTACCATAGCATTCACCTTTCATAAATTTACAAGATCTGATTCTTGGCCTTTACAAATCAGGTTTAAGATATTATTTTTGTAAGAAACAGCTGTGTGGTTGGGCACAGCTGGCCTTTTAGGACGGCTCATTGCAGAAAGGAATTTCCAGGAGGTAAAGAGCACTATATTGTCTTTTCAATACCAGTTCCTAACCCCACTTGACAGAAATAGAGGCAGCACATGGCCAGGAAACATTTGACTTTGGGCAGAAAACAGCTGGAAGCAAACTGAAATACCAAGTTGGAGCTGAAAGCAAGGCTAAAGAAGCACCAGGATATAATTTCACACCCTGTCATTCTTATCCAAGTAAATTCTGGGAGGACTAAGCATCGCCACCAAGTTCTGTCTTCAAATATCCTACGCCAATCCTTTCACTGGTATGTTTGTAAGAGGGAAAAGTAAATAAGTGTGAAAAACAATGAGATCAGGCGATGGTGAGGTTTTGAGTTCTCATTTGCAGGTTGTAGGCTGTACACTTCACACTTTTTTCTTCCCATGTCAGTTTTATTTGAGCATTATTTTGACAATATTTAAAATAGTGTCAAGGAGACTTGGATAGTTTCATTGTTCTAGTATTTGTACACTTACAAAAATACATTTACCTTTTCCAAAATTTTGGGAGGGCTATTCAAGGCATTGTTCCTCATACTTAAAAGCTCCAAGAGAAGAAAAAAAATTACTATTTCTTATCTTTCATACAAAGATCCTCTGCTTTACTGTAGTTTTGTCTCTCTTGACTTCAAATTGTACCAAATACTTCCCACTTATTATTTCATTTCTTGAGACAGAATAAAATACTCACTCCAGGATTAACTGATTTGGAAGATAACCCATAAGCACTATGAAACAGGTTTCCTAAACCACTTCAGTTTCATGGATTTCATTCTTTTTATCTTACACTGGCTGTTCTCCCTAATTTTCGCAACTGAAAATTGTTTGTATTAGAAATAAGGGATAATATGACTGGTGTTAGAAACAGAGATACATATCCTGATGATTAGACTCCTGCTGCACTGTCAGCTTTCTGAATAAATTATTTTGAATACCATCTTTTTGTCCTTGCTGAAGATAATAACCTACTTGAGGGATTTGAATATTTTCTAGTATTTTAGAAAACTGAAAGTGGACATACTTCAGAAATCGCTCTTATTCTTCAGTTAATAAATAACAAAACTCTCTTTCTTCAAACGATAGAAAGAAGATCGCTATTTATGCTTCTGAAAGGGAATTATTTTGTCCAAATCATCTAAAAGAATTAGACTTTGAGCAAGTGCTGAAACTTCCAATCTAAAATACAAGATGATTTTAACTGTTCAAATAGACTGATTAGTCCAGAAAATATAACAACAAAGCTACAAAAGATATGACTGTATTAATTTTAGAATATAAATGCTGATTTGATCCCAGTGCAAATGTGAAATTATATTAGTGCAGCATATTTTCTACTTTTTCTCTCTGCTCTTACAACCTCCCCCCAAACATGTAACTTCTCACTTCGCCTAAATAATTTCCCTGTATGTCTCTGCCTGCTGTATTCCCATAATCAGTGCTGAGATAATTTTTTCTACAAACATTGGAACTCAAAATTTCAAACAATGCCTGATTTAGTCACCTCATTTCTTATTAAGTTCTAGTTCAAAAATTTTCTGCTAAGAAAAAAAGTTTACCTTTTTTTCATGGTTTTAGATACACCAGAGCTCACAGTAACACTCTGCAATTATACTGCATTTTCTTTTCCTTTTTTTATAAAGAAATTAAGTCAATAGCTAGGCAGTAATTATTACAGCAAGTAGATATAATATCAGGTACAATAAATCCATTAATTAAACTGGATATTTTTTATTATTCAGTTTAGATAAGAACAGCTGAATTACTTGTGACCAGACAAGAAATTCTGCTGAGCACCATAGCCTGTCTCTGACAAACCAGGAGCAAATCACGGATGTTTCCCTATAATATCCTCCTGATAACTCAGTTTGCAGTTCAGGGAATTGCTCAGGCAGGTGTGGTTCCTATGTATTTCTGTGCACTAAGGGTCTATGTACCCCTCCATGGCTTTCTCCTGCATAGAACAGCAGCAGTTTCCCTTTATGCCCTTGTAAACAAGGAACATCCAAATTAGTTCACAATCAGCATAACAACCTGGGAATTTTCAGGATCCCCTTGGACTTTCCCATTTCCCAGTTTTACCTTTCTCTCCTCGACAGTTCTACTAATATGGATCAAACACAAAGCACCTGCACTGCCTGACCAACCAGACCTAGAAGCTGCGTAGTTCCCTTCTCAAAGAAACAACAGAAATGCCAGAAATCAGGCATTTCTGCCAAGAAAAAAGCAGGCTATCAGAAATTTAATCTTTGAAAAATGCACAGAATACTGATTCACCACTTAAATCTAGATTACAGCCTGACACTTGACCACCCCTCCATGGAAACTGAAAGCATTACCGCGTGTGTTTTGGTGCAAGTGTCAGGATTAACCAGATGCAAAGGTCTACTCTGAACTCCTTGTGATAATGAAGGTTTAAGCTTGTATAATGGCTGCAGAAATTATTTACTGGGCAGTTTTACCACCCACATTGATATTATTTTCATGCTTTCAAATATAAAAAGTACTTTGAAAAGAGTCAAATCACAGGTTTTCGTTATTTTCACTCCTAAACAGATGGGAAAGGTACAGAATGCACCATAAAGCCAGATGTGTTGCATGCACAAACAGATGTTTTCAGACCCGACTGATCATAAAAGGCAGATACACTATTAACAATATTTAAAAGTTGCTCTGCACAACTGATGTTTCATACCTGAAACAGCTGATCCAGTCTGAAGGTAACTGGAGCTTCCCAGAAGCACAAAATCCTTTTAAAGGCTACAACAGCCCTTTCACATTTAGCATGAAAGGTCAACTACAGGTCCCTCCTGCTGGATGTTAACACTCAGCATTCAAAAACACAAGGAAAACCACCTGAGGAAATTCATTACTGCTGGAAAGAAACGTGGGCATATGCTACAATTGATGTAGAAAGGGAATTCACTGAAGAACCAGCACTTCCATTCCAATCATCCATTCAATTCTTCCAACTGCAATAATTGCCAACTGTTTGCCCAATGGTAAACCATTGAAACGAGCTGTGATAGCTTCTCATCTCACTACTGCTGTTTATACACTAAAAGACTTTTAAAGACACTACACAGTGGAACTGCTGAATCTTCTTATGAGACTAAAAATAGCTGTATTGACAGAAAATATACTTTTCCTGATGTACAGACTTCTTTCGCCTAAACTAATTCTAATTGTGGCATTAAATTACTGAGTTTAATATTTGCTATGACTGAGTACCAGAACATCTAAACATCCATCCACCAGTACCTTAGGGAAACATATCTTTTTTTCTCTTGGAGGGCTGAGATGCACATTCCTGAAGCCATAATATTTTACATAAATATGTGAATTAATAGTGCCCATTTAAGATGTTGTGACTGTCAGCCTATCTGCTTCACACAAATGTAGCTGTTAAGCACATGATCCTGCATGGTAACTTTGGTTACTGTACTTGGACACTTGAAGAACACCCTTCCTAAATAAAACCATTAGCACCAAACTAGGGACGAGCAAATGCAAGTAAAAACATCCTGAAACAAACCAAATGTGCAAAGAGCATGCCTTTAACAGAGAGGCAAATGTTATTTCTTCTCATTCAGAGAAAATCAGGAATCACCTGAGAATTTGAGAGAGGTTCATTCTCTGCATGTATAGCTAAGTGTCCAGCAAAGAGAGGGTAGCATGTCCCTTTGGATTTAACGCATTGCAGAGTAAGTCTCCTTCTTGTTTAATTGAGCTTTAAATACTGCACATTCCCTTCTCAAGAGAGACGGCATTAAAATTACTGCAGATAAAGAAATTAAATTTCCCCTTAAGGAAAGGCTACTGTCAGGAAGACCTGATTCTTTTACATGTGTGACAGTAATTATTGCTTGCATTCATACAACATTCTTTCAGTTAAGGGTCTCAGCATACTTTATAAACACATGTACAGTATAAAAAAGTATACTCTATAAATACACACTACAGAAGCTAGAAGTTCTTACACCTACTTAACTACATGTCAGCAAATAATTCAACTCTATTGAAGAAACTTTCTCTCATTTTTGTAGGTTCAAGAAAAAGTCAGTTGCTCTGGGCATACAAACAGCAGAAAGGCTGCCAGAGCTGCCAGTTCTAATGTTGGCACCCTCCAGGGATGGAGTCTTCACTGAGGAAACAGAAATTCTTCTCTGAGGTTACTATTTCTCAACCAGTCCCAGATTTTTCGCAACCAAGTCCTTACTTGTTATTAATTTTGTACTGTCTCCAGTCTTCTGCTCTGTGACATTGGCAGATGCCACAGTTTCACTCCAGTGCTCACTTTTCAGGGCATTCAGAGCAAGGTGGCAAAGGGGCACTGAGTCCATGCCTCGCCCTGAGCCTGATGGCCACCAGCACAGTGCTCTCTGTCCGAGGCAGCACCTGGCTGCAGTTATGACTAAGGCTCTGTGTCACCACACCACATGCACCATATGGACACCCACTCACGTGGAGCGTGAGCTTCACAGAGCTCACCTGCCCTGGCAAGCCCATCCTGAACTACTCAGCCAACACTTGCTCACCTGCTGCCAAGGCAAGGACAACACAGTGACCATTTTTAGCTCGGAACCGAGGAAGAAGGACCCTTTGGCCAATCTTTATTTTATTTGTGTGATGTCCATCAGGCCATAATGATGATGGCAGCACTGGAAGTTTAATTTCCTTGGGTAGCCGTTTGACTCACAAAGTGCATTTTAGTGTAGACTTCAATATTAATTGAATTTGAAAATGAGAAAAAAATGTAACCTTTAATTTCCTACTTTTTTAAAAAGCCCATTTTTGCAATATAGCCTCCATAAAACTCCACACAAAAACGTGAAGAGATACAAAAATCAATTATAGATTCTTCTGTTCTCCAGTGTTTTCTGATAAAAGCAAGATGAGAAGGATCCCTACTGAGATTAGAAATCTCTTGGCAGAAGCAGAAGGGAGTCAAAAACAAAAACTAAGTTCATGTCACATATAATGACCACTAATTACTCCCTCCTCTAGGAATATGCCAAACACACCAAAAAAACCCAGGGAAAAAATCAACTGTCAATTATTCATTTGCATTATGAGAACTACTTTAGTACAATAGCAAATAGAAATACTAGATTTTCTAACAACAGAACTCTGGATCCAGGGGGTAGGAGGGAGGGAACACAAAACCAACATGTTAGAAAATGAAAACAAAAACACAAATCTGCTTGTACTTTGTCATCAGCTAAAACCTCCTCAGGCATCCCTCTCTCAGCTCCATGCTTTTGGAACATAATGAGAAATGATTACTGAAAAGACAGCTCTGAGGTGGTACACTGTACCAAGATTAGTGCCAAAAGATTCTCCACTCATCATATTGTAAACAAAAGTAATACATTTTAACAGACCGAAAAATTGATGTTTCAGGCCTTGGTCCTAAAAACATTCAAGAATGTATTTTGCTTTGAGTGAAGAGACTCAATGCCAAGTCTCCTCCCACGTACAAAGTCTCCCAACACACGAGTAAGTGTTCACATAGCTCCTACACACTGTAATTTATTCCTGTGATCATAATCAGGACAAACACTTTAAGCGCATAGAACTTACACTTTCCTGGATGTGAAGCACTTCTTTCTCAAAACACCAACAAATTTAAAAAAATTAATAATATATACCCCCACAACAAACTTCAAACAAACAAACAAACAAAAAAAACCCAAAAAAAACAAACAAACAAACAAAAAAAAAAAACCAAGCAAAAAGCTTCCCAGCTTTTTAAACAATGCTCCTGTGCAACCCCCCTCTCCAAACTACAACCCTGATAGTTTAGCAGCTTACATCCATGATGAAATATATGGCCTTTGTGAAAGCACTGTAAACTTGCTCTTGCCAGGCACTCCTAGGATTGTTTCATGTGGTTGATTTGGGTCTAGAGAGTAAGTCCTATGAAGAGCAGCTGAGGGAGCTGGTATTGTTTAGTCTGGAGAAAAGGAGGCTCAGGTGAGACTTTTATTGCTCTCTACAAACTACCTGAAAGGAGGTTGCAGCCAGGTAAAGCTCAGCCTCTATTCCCAGGCAACTAGAGACAAGACAAGAGGAAATGCCCTCAGGCTGTGCCAGGGGAGGTTCAGGTTGGACATCAGGAAAAAAAATAATTCACTGAGATGCTGGTTAGGCATTGGAACAGGCTGCCCAGGGAGATGGTGGAGTCACCATCCCTTGAAGTGTTCAAGAAATGACTGGAGATGGCACTTAGTAACATGGTTTAGTTTGGCATGGTTGTGTTTGGTCAAAGGTTGGCCTCGATGATCTCGGAGGTCTTTTCCAGCCTTAATGATTCCATGATTTTATGTGTGCCCAGACACAAAAGCAAATATCCAGTTTTCACGGAGACACTCCATTAAAAAATTAACAACCATTTGTAAGAGTATTTTTTCTTCTTCTCTTTACCGTATTTTATAGAGCAACAGCAAAGAGATATATTTACAAGAAAACAGTGTCTTCTCAATAAATAGTTAGCTGTAGGAAAGGAAAATGGGAAAATGGGAGCGTAATGCTATAGTTTTCCGATTGCATGAGTGTGCCCCCCACAAATTTAATTAAAATAGCTTTATTTGAATAACAGCAAATACCGTAAGTATCCTCTGTTTACTTGTCAAAACCATTCCCAGCAGTTTGGTAGCAAAGTAAATCTCAAAAAACCTCCAGCCACAACTACCTAGAAAGTTATTTTGAGATCTGCACTCACAGATACCCAAGGAGACAATGGGAAAACCCCCTTCACATTATTCAAAAGCAAGAAGTATTCAGAGTTCTCAGTTTACTCCAGTGACAGTAGGGGGTTTTATTTGCATGTTTATAAAGTCAGGACTTACTACAGCATCTCCTCTATGCATATTTATGAGTAAATGAAACAGGAGATCTATATACCTCAGTAAATTTAAATTTGATTGTAGGACTCAGAGAGACATCAACTCCCCAAAATCTGACAAGCTCTTATCTACTGATCACAATCATTAATCTGAAGGCCATTCAGGAAGTCCGATATACCCTAAGGTTAATATTTCAAGAGGTCTTACTTTTTTCCCCCTAATTAACTTAATTCCTTAGCTAATGTCTTCTAATTTACTGGAAAGGAATTAGACAACTCCAAAAGTCACCAGGAAAAATCTTATCATTAGAAAATGCTGTAAAGGACATCTCTGGCTGAGCAGCACCACGCAGGCACTGCTATCTTTGGTGGGTGCTGGCAAATCTGCACATCTTAACATAGTTCACAGAAGCAGACACTGTGCTAATTTCAGTCACTTTAAATAAGGCAATGGCTTGGAAGAGGACAAGATGTCATGCCAGAAAGGACAGGATAATATGTTAC